AATATTTTTAAAAGTAAAGCAGTGATAGATTTGTTTTTGATTGAGAGCGTAAGAGTAAACTTCAAGAAAAAAGAAATTTTTCTTATGTGAATTTCAGAATATCAAGAGTAAGGCTTGACATTAGCATATCAAATTATTACAATTATGGTGGACACAAAACTAAAAAAAAATTGCATAGTCTTTAGCAGTATTAATTCTAATATATTAAAAGTATGACTACACATTTTACATAAATAAAATAAATCCTGTGCTTCTTGAATAATTTATCTGATGGGCAGAAAAATCTATTTCTTCAGAAAATTTTTTCATCATTAAATTATTAAAAATTGAAGACACTTCTGTTGCATATCTTGCAGAATGTTGATCATCTTCTTATCAGAACTGATTAGCATCAAAGGACTGACAATGGCATAGACATTGACCACAAGTGTCTGGACACTCAGGATGACTGGGTCATATGCCTTTAACAGGGTTGAGGAGAATGAGAGGATGAAGTCCAGCCAGTTCATGACCACAAAGAAACTCACCAGCAGCAGGATGGTCTGAGCAGCTCTTTTTGCTGGGTTGGCTCTTTGGGAGGCTGGAGCTGCGAAGGTGCTGGTATTGCCTCTGGTGCCTGGACAAGAGAATCACCATGTATGCGCTTGAAAGCAGCGTGATTCCTATGAAGGAAATATCCCTGGATATTGTGAGAGTGAAAAAAAGACCCCTAATGACGGAGTTCATGGGGGAAAGTGAGCAGTATTTTTCTATTCTTAGTAGATTGGTTTGGGTCATGTTGGAGTAAGCCACAATGTAGAAGATCACATTACCACTGGAAGACAACTGAGGGACCATAGGAAAAAGAAAACACATGTAATATAATTTCTAGATTTATGTTTAAATCTTGCCAACCAGGCGGTTCTAGGGCTGATGGTGGTGGCCTGGAACACACTCAGGAAGCAGGTGGTGAATATGGAGAGGCCCCTCATCACCCTGTTCATGTAGAAATATGCCTTACATTTGAAGTCATTCTGAAAACTCAATAACTCAAACAGGTCTGGAGATAAGAAAAAAAGTACATTAAGCAGCATCATGATGTGGACAAGGGCCAGGTGACAGGTAATCATGTTGATTGGCTTAGGCCTGACATCCAGAAGGAGTGTGGAAATTTGAAAGTAAAGGAAAAAAATGTTTGCTGAGATTCCAAAGCCAAATGGGAAAAGAAAGGCATTTTTAATAATAACATAAGTGGAAAGTGATGGCCTTAATGGCATAGATAAAAACTATGTTGTATATCTGGAAAAAAGAGTATACATCACATTATTAATGTTCTTTTGGAGGGAGTAAAAATACTAGCCATTATCATTATTTTAAGTTCTTCCAATTATTCTTGGTTAACACTATCTCATATAATTTTTAAAATAACATTTCAGTATTATTTTCTGTACCAAATAACTCACACATATAAATCCACAATATATCCAAAATTATGACTGAATAGTGTGCCTGTAATCTATACCATTATTTTACATGAGCCTCCCTCCTTAGAGAGCATTTAATTATTGTTCAAGATTTCCTGATTTAATAATTAGCATCCAAATGCATTATGGACATGTAAAATTACTCAATGGATTTTTTAAAAAGCTGAACTGAGAGAAATCTTATGAAAGGGGGGGAAAACATCAAAACAAGCAATTGGGGAAAAATAAATTAAATCTTTTTTATAATACATAACTTTGACACTTTCTATTCTTCATCTTTTTTATATTTGTGGATCTCTGTGATTAAACTGTACACTCCTATAATACAGAATAATCTCCCTGTGTTAAATCAGCCAGTTAGCATACTTGATTCCGTATTCTTTTTGTCATGAATCCTTAATGTATCCCCAGGATCTGAAAATTAGAATGTGGATATCTTTGGGTGCATTACTCTGCCTAACACAACTTCTATTAAATCTGTCACTTCAAAATAATCCTGGATCCCTTTCATTTTTGTTTCCATCCCAGATATCCCTCATGTAAACTGCCTTCAACTGGGAAGGGAATTGCTAAGGTCCATGACTCAACTACTAAGGTGATAAACACTGTATTTATCCACTTTTTGACATCCATGAGGTTGCATCAATCTTATCACATACAAATAATTTTTTAAGACTTTATTTCATTCAGAGATAACTTCTAATGCTCTGAAAAATATTTAAGTATTCGATAGTAAAGAAACTTCTGAAGTTTTAACCACAATATCCCAATATCAAAATATCATCTAAAATTTTATTACTTTTGCAAATATTAATATTTTCTAATGTTATTTGTCCTGGATACTGGTATAATAATTTTATGATATTACTTTAATTTGGTAATCAGCTATACAACAAAGACAAAATGAAAAATGCACACATTTATTGATTTTTTCTGATACGAATATCTGTTCAATTATATATCAAAGGTAAATTTTAACTATATGACTTATGAATATAAATATGTAAAGCAATGCAGAAATGGAGGCAGTTAATACTCTTGACACACAGTCAGAAATTCATAGCTGAGATAAAACATTTCTCTAAAACTACCTGATATGCACATGTTTATGAAGGAGATATTGTATAGCTAGTTAAATGATTGTTACTTTTAATACAAATGCTTATATTAGTAAAGGTTTAAATTTATATTAGCTGTAGAACCAAACAACTGATACTTGCTACCAACATTCATATCAACCCTCAGTCATTTAGATTTGATGTCCTACTGACTGAGGAGAAACACCAGAATAACACTGATTTAAAGGCTTAATGACAGATATTATTTATT